GTTCCGTGAACATGCTGAAATAAGAGTAAACATTAATTAGGAAGTTTCTACTGTCTTTCTGTGGGTATTTTCACTTTTTCCTCTGTCGTGGTTTATAAAGCCACAGGGACAGTCCTTTGTTGAACACCTGGTGGGCTGAGGCAGGGACAGTGAGGGTTTCACTCACCACTTAGGGTCACGGGCAAAAAATCGACGTGACTTGGGAAGAAAAAAAAAAAAATTCATTTATTGACTTAGGGTCACGGGCAAGAAACAGACGACTTGGGAAGAACAAAAAAAGCCCAATGGAATTTATTAACTATTTACAACAAGAAGCAGGATAATGAGAAACTATGTCTTAGAAAGGCACTTCTCCCCCACCCCTCCCTTCTTCCCAAAGCCCAAATGCTTTGTTCTGTACCTTCTCCCTGCCCCAGCGGCACAGGGGGGCAGGGAATGGGGGGTGTAGTCAGTTCGCCGCTCTTTCATCCTCAGGGGAGGGCTCCTCACAGTCTTTCCCGGCTCCAGCGTGGGGTCCCTTCTCACGGGACAGTCCTTAAACTGCTTTGGTGTGAGTCCTTTCCACACAGGGCCGCAGTCCCCCAACGACTACCCGGCTCCGGTGTGGGTTTCTCCAAAATTCCTACATGGGGTCCTCCACGGCTGCATCTTCTCATGGGCTGCACCAAGGGACAAACTGTGCGTCACCATGAATCTTCACGCTGCAGGGGAAGTGCCAGAGGAGGCGCTTCTTCCTCTTGCTTCTCTTCACTGACTGGCATGTCTGTGTAATTATCTCTCTCAGATCCTGAACTCTTGCTCCTCCCTCTGCCGCAGGTCTTCATCGGCTCCCGGGAAAACAGCCTCTCGGGCAAGCCATGGCGGAGGCTTGGGCTACGGCAGGTCGGTTTGCAGGCCAGACCGGTCTGCCTAAGCCCGGGGCCATGCCAACCCCCTTGTTCCGTGCCCCCTCTTCAACATGTTATTCACAGAGGTGCCGATTGGCTCAGCCCTGGCCTGGGGTGGGTCCAGCCTGAAGCTGGGGAAACTTCCAGTCGTTTCTCACAGGGGCTGGATCGGTGGTACTCCTTCCCCCACTCCCCCTCCCGGTTACTAAATCCTTGGAGCCGGGGGGGTGGGGGTGAACCGCTGGCAGTCACTTACAGGGGCCGGCACTGCAGCCCCTCCCTTGCTGCCAGCAGAGCTGGAGTCCAGGGAAACCTTTAGCAGCTACTTACAGGAGCCACTGCTGTGGCCCCTCCCTGCTACCAGACAAAAACCGCCACACAAAACCATAACATCCTCCTATCTGATCCTTCTGTTCAGTAAGAACTATTGTGTCCTTGAGGAAAATAAGGAAATTTCCATTTTTCTCCTAACCAACAGAGTAGCTTACAGCAATGCAGCAGAGAGAGGGTATCATTCAACAGTTCTTTTCAAAGCTGGAGGAAAAATAATTAGGAGCTGTAGAGGTTCTTAGGGGTTTTTTTGTACATTGGTTTGCCTCATTTTTTTTTTTTAATCTATCCTTCAGTGTACAGAGTAGCTCCCAAATTCAGTATTCTATTTCACTGCAGTAAATGAGACCTCCCTACTTTAATTCTTTTGTAATTAGCTTTAAATTGCTTCCTCCCTCCCCTTATTTCTAAAGCCTGTCATTACCGTAAGACGAATCAAATAACTAGAATTCCCATGCTTACACTTAGTGTTTTATATACTGCAAAACCCTGAGTAGATTCTTAACCAACTCTGTATTGAATGAAGGGACACCAATTGAGAGCATCCAGGCTCGTGCTCAGCCTGCACTTTAGAACCTGGTGCGATATGTATTTGTTGATTTAACAAAGCTTAGCTCATCTCATTAAACTGAAATTGCTTAGGAAAAAGCAGGGAGATGCAGACAATCTCATGCTGTCTTGTATAGAAATTAAGTAACTGATCCCTCCTTTGTTGGGGAGCTACAGTAGAAGGACATGAGGACAGGCTGCAGGGGTCAACCATAGCTCATGCAGCGGCACATTTGGCTGCAAGCTGCATGATCACTAGAGACAGACAAGGAGCTAGCTGAGAGACTTAATTATTGTTGTTCCTGAACTTCTTCATGTAGTGTAATTAATGTAATTTTAAGTAGACTTACTGGAGCCTGCTATCTAAATGTCATACATCTCTGGGTAGTTGGAGGACAATGTCTAACCACCTGCAAATGGGGAGAATGCAACCCTAAAACACAACCTTGTCTTGTCAGAAGAAAAACTGAGGTGGAACAGAAGGAATATTACATAGTTGAGGTTTTTTTTCCACTTGCATTCAGTAAAGAAGCAACAGACATGACAAAGTGGACTGAACCGAGTGAATAAACTTTCTATTAATAGCAATCCTCAGGTGTTTAAGACTATCCAAATTTTAATCCTTCTTTTTTTTTAGCCTCTTTCTGAAAATAGTGTCCAACACACACAGAACTGTGCTAATCATTGTTGGACTGCACTGAATTCTTAGATCTTTACCAAATACTTGGCATCTGTTAGGATTCAGCTAAGGTCCGATTTGCATATAGCAAAGTTACTGAGTTAATGCAGACAGTGGAAATCAGTGCCATCTAGTGACATCTTTTTCTGCCATCTTCAAATAATATCTCATCTTTAATTAAATACATATGCACCTCCCTCTCCTAGTTATGCGGTTTTAGATTAGGACTCTGATTTCTTTCTTTGGCAAATAGTTCTTTTATGTTTACTTAGTATGTGCTATCTGTTGAAACATGCTTTTAAAGGAAAATTAGAACACTTCAGTGTTTCAAATCCAGGGACTGATTTTCTCAAAAAAAAAATAGAAGATAAGTTAGCATTTGGAGATCTAATGTATGTCTTTTATAACCTAATAATATCACAAAAATTAAAAAAGCTCCCAGGGATGTCTCAAGGAGGTCATAAAGCCCTAACAAAAAACCACAAAAAATTCATATTTTTTGCCATCTTCTAGCAGATTCTCAAAAAAGAAAAAAACCAAAAACCCCACCAAAAAACCTCCACAACTCTACTCTTAAGCAGAAAGGCACTGAAGGAAATAAAGTGCCAGCAGTGACAGTAGAAGTCACATTTGCTAAAGCCTCTTTAAGAAAAGGACTCCAAAAAACATAGATGAGTATCCAAGATACTTACTATTGAAAATTCAAAGTCAAGAATCCTCACAAGCCCCTAAGAGCATGTGGTACGGCGAATATGTGCTCCTTCCTGCACCTCTGACCCACCTCACCTCTCCGGGAAGGCTAATGTAAGACAGTACCCATTTTACAATTCAGAATACTTCCACAAAGTTACAAACACTGAATTACCCGCCTAGAAAGCCAGTCTCAAAATACTGTAGAGAACGGACAGGACTTTGTCTTGTTAGAAAGCTTCAGTCAGTAGCAAAGGACTCAGCCCAAAACAGTTCTTCTAATAAGAACACAGACATTAATTACCAACTACTAACACTACATTCCTAGCATAAACTTTGGGTAACTCAACACAAGCAGAAATTACCCTGCCAGGAAATGCATCCCTGAATGACCAATTTCACTCTCTAAGCTAGCTGTGGATTCAGCCACTAGATGTCTTCACTATACAAAAATGCAATCTGCAGTACTACTATTTTGTCTGAAGTGGAAGCATGCTGTGTGTTTCACATATTTTCCATTGAGGTTGGATTGTAATATTTGTAAGGCTATTTCAGTTTCTCACAAATGTCAGTATGATTCTCCTGATCATCATGTACTTAGCCAGACACTTCTAACCATAAAATTTTGGAAAGCAGTTCAATAATTTTCTCCAAAATATTACTTTGAAAAAAATCCTGATACATTAGATTTTTGTTAGAGCATAATATGCATACATTTTGTCTAGAAAGCATAAAATATTTAGAATAGAATTGTTCAGCTGTAAGGCATCTACAGCGATCATCTAGTCCAACTGCCCAACCACAAGTTAGTGTGTTAATTAAGGGCATTGTCTATATGCCTCTAATACACTGAGAAGCTTGAGGCATCAACCACTTCTCTAGGAAGCCTGTTCCAGTGTTTGACTGTCCTTTTGGTAAAGAAATATTTTCTAATGTAAAGTCTGAACATCTCCATTTTAACATAGGATTTCATAGCTGCATGAATTTCTTCCCTGGTTTCTATTTATGGTTGTTGTGTTTGCATTATAAGCAGAAGTGATAATTGCTGCATGCAAAGTTTCTGTTCAACCTTAGTTTGTTTCTAACTTTATGAAGGAGCTCTGCATTGGCAGAATTTTTTTAAAAGTTTCAGCTAAATGGTTCAGTGTTTTAGAAATACCTAGGGGAAAAGGTGTCAAGGACATGCTGAAGAAGAACCCACAAAATCCTAATCCAAATTACTTGGCCTTATGTTATGGGGATGCAAAAACTAAATAGCAGCAGCAATCACCTCTCATAGTGCAGATTATTATAAATCAATCTAGTGCAAATTAAGACTGTTCAGACATGTGTTTCTAACATCTACCAGCTTGTGAAAAGTGAATTTGTTCAGCTTCTTAATTTGTTAATGTTGAATTAGAGTAACACACAACGGCTGAACAAGTTTATAATACTGTTGTGCATCCCTTCGCTCTGCTGTACTGCTACTTATAAAATCAAAACCTCAACTGCAGGAGCATCTTTCAAAAAAAAAAAAAAGTCTGCAGTTATGTTTGTTACACTGTAAGGGGAGACAGAGAAGGGTGAAAGATGTTTTGCTTTGAATCACAGAGGAGTTCTGAGATTATGTGAAATGAACAAGCAGTTCGTGTTTCAATCACACACAAAAAAAAGAGAACTGCATAACCTATCAGATTTTTGCAGATACATTGCTTCCCCACCCCTTTTTGCATTGTCTTGGCAGAACAACTAGAAAAAGGAATCAGCTCAGACATACACCCCAGGTAAACCAAACAGGATGCAAGAGGCCCATTTGAACTGCGCTTCTTAAACCCACGGGAACTTCTTCTCTCTACCATGCCCAGAGAATCAAGGCTCCTCCCGTCATGTTGATAAAAAGAGTATTACTGCACACTCTTCTAGCAATGCTGGCTCAGAGCAACTATCAAAGTTATGGTAAGATGTGGTCTTATAATTTAACATGTCTGTAGTTAATAAACATTGCAGGGGGAGAACAGAAACCAAAGCAGTGCTTAGTGTACCTTGGAGATAATCTGTGTCATATTTTATTAGCATATCAGAGAATCCTAATTTGATTGAAGAGGCCCATAACAACCATAATTGAGAAATATTCGGTACCTCTCTAGACCAGAACGCTAGCACTTGGGGACCAAATAAATCTTCCTTTATGGCCAAAGGCTCTGCCTTCAAGTGGCTTGGCAGCATTCAAGCCTCTGCTTGAATTCTGTGAATTCTACTAGCTCTGAAATAGAGCCAGTTTGCAGTTGAATTACCCTTACCAGATAAGCGTACCTTCAATCATTTAACTTAACCCCATCTAATTTCCATCCCACTTTCAACTTTGAATTTCCATGGTTTTTAAAGAGAGATATTCTAGTTTGGACTGACATCAGAACTATGCTGTGCCCAGTATACTCCTAATATTATTTTTTACTTTACTTTGCTTAATGACTTTTTTTTTCAAGTTCTTCCCTGCTGGTATCAAACAGGAGACATAAGTGTTAATATTGAAAGGAAGATAGTCATACAGAAAGGATAATAGCTGCTGCAATGGATGCACTCAGCTTTGAGATATATCAACCGATAAATTAATTGATCAAAATAACATTTGCTATAAGGTACTGCTAAAATTATACAAACAAATTGAATTGACTATGTGAAGCTTAGTTGACATGCATGACTAACTCTGCAAATCTATAGCATCTTTCAACACTGCTTGTTTTTATGAATAAAACACATCGTTAATACTAATAGGAGAGGTTAAACAAGCATTCAGAGCATCTGCCTGGGAAGGGAAACCCAACTATTTAGCTTAAGACACACAAACTACCGTGTCAGTTAGATGCAGCTGTTTCTTAATCAGGGTGCAATCTGAGCTCGAGGAGGCTACTGAACTGCTTTACATTTTATTTTCAAATTAAGATACTAGCATGCTCCCGAAGGGAATGTATCTAAAGCTGACAACCTCCTTCATACCCTAAATAGAGGTATCTTCTTTTCTTGTAAGAAATAACCACTGTTTTTGTTCAGTTCATTAAGTATGCTGTGTTATTAGACTCTCACAAAATCACCTCTCTGCGATGTCCAGTATAGTTCACCAATACATGGACGAACTCTCCGTACTCATCTGCCAGGTTCTTAGATACTGTTTTTAAAGCAGAATGTAATTTCTGTTATGCTGTTTGTCACATGAATCTTGTTTACACAGAATTTATTTTGCTAGGTTTTATTCTCTGATCTACTTCAAAACTACTTAGGGTCCTCTGAGTACAATACTATTTCCTTCTATATGCCTATGCTACTACAAATATCAGAATCATGTTTGCAGGAGCATTATGGAGAGAAAAGTTTTGCAAGTTAGTGTCTACAGAACCATGATGTTTATTTTTTTAAATGTATTTATATTTTAGCCGTAAAAACAAAACAAGCTTGGAAAACCTATTTCGGTCAGAAGTAAACTGAAAATTGAAGCCAACTTATTTAAGCTTTGTATGCTGCAAATCTATCCAAAGTTTCCCTTACTCCTAAGAAAAATAAAGTTAACCACTCAGATTTCATATACAAAGTCAATACCCTGCAAATCTTCTCTAAATTCAGGAAGGAAAAGTAAGCTTGTTTCTGATAAGTCACAAGCAAAAGGACCTTCTCCCCCCTTACCCCAGTAACTTTAGTCCAGTTAGACCCTATCACCTTTGTAACACCAAAGAACAGATTGTTCCCATCCAGTCTCACAGAGTGGTTGCTGCTGTCTGGACAGCACACACAAAGTGAATGAAGCACTTCATCCCAATGAAAATAAACCCAGCAAACCTCCCCTCGCTCCGAGAAGCCCCAGATGGTAGCTAAGCATGTGCACACATGCCCACTAACGGTGGGCATGGTTCTCAGCTCAAATAGCACCTTGCTGTTAGACGTTCTTGTTGGATAGCCTGCACATGCTCGCATTCAGCTAAATAGAAATGTTCCACCTTCAGGTTTCAGTCATCAAAATATAAAAGCATGTTTTCTGCCGTTATGCAGCTTTTGTCAAGGAATAGTTAAAAAATGGTGCAATTCTCAGTCAGCTACCTCAGCAAGCAGGGCAGCTTTGCAAATAACACCATTGCCAGAAAAAAAACCAAAACAAAACAAAACAAAAAAAACACCCCAAACAAACCAAAAAAAAAACAAACCCAGAAGAACAAAAAACCCAGAAAGTCCTTCATTGTACACCAAGTAAACAGGAAAAGTACATTACTGTATTTTCAAGGTGACAGGTGACATAGGAAAAATTAAGTGAAAAGGACCAAAATTAAATTTCCATTAGCAAAATTACATTCTTCAAAAAATCCAAATTGTGATATAAATACCTAAAATTCCTAAAATAAAATTTTACATCATTCCTGGAAAAGCCTTCTCTGAAGTTGGGAGAAGTCTGAAAAAGTTCTACCCAGGTATCACTTAATACATCTTCTGAAGTTCTCCTTACTAACTGCACCTTAGCTAAATTGAAGAGGGAAACATGCTTTTCCGTTAGTTTTCCTCACAGCCCATTTCCTTTTTATGTTGTTAAAATATTGATCTCAATATTGAATGTGAAACCCTGACAAATCAATCCACTTTCTGCTGTAGGTTTTGTGCTATGGCCCTAATCAGAAACTTCCCAGAACCTTGGACCAGAGTTAAAAACATCACTAGTGCTTCGCTGTGTTCACAGACAGACCCAAACGTAGGATTCAAACCTAACTGTAGACATTTGTTTTTCAGGAATAATTGACATTTTACACCTCAGTCATTATCTGCCTCAGGTAATGATACATATGACTTGTATTCTATCCCATCCCTTGTTCCTTTCTTTTTTAAGGGGAGAGAGAGGGAAAACCAAAGTAAAGATAAACCCTTTTGAAAACAAATGCTTCAGAAATTTCTATTAATAAGCCCTAGTTTACTGGAGTTGTTCTGAGTTCTTAGATGACCGAATATGAATGACGCCATTTGTAATTCAAAGATTAGAAGACTCAATTTTTAGCTATTATTTTTTTGCTAATGGATTGAGTTAGGCACATGGAAAACCATCTCCATTAAACCTCTCTTGTTTGCTTAATGACTCACGTCATGACTATGTCTTCTAGAACACAAGAATGAGAAAAAAAATTTGTTTTTTATAAAGGAAAGTATTGTCATGGGTATTTCAGAATTGTACAAGTTATGGAATGCCTGCTTTAATTTGAAACCCTTATCCTAGCAGTACACCACACAGAAGATTTTCCTTACCTGTGCAAATTAATTCTTGGTGCAACAGATCCTGGCTCGCCACAGCCTCATCAGGAACACATTCAAGTGATCTAAAAGAAAACGTGCTTTTAGTCAAACTGAATCTTACCAAGGAGCATAAGTCTGAAGCTGATATATAAAGCTCCCATGTGCTGCAAATGCTTTTACCCTCTTGAAAAACTGCACATTCAGATATGCAGCGTGACCACCCATATGTATGACACTGAAAACTTAAGACTTGGTATAAGATCTCATAACCGGTTTCAGGTCGCAGCTTGTAACAGTGTTAAAGGAAGAGTAATTAAATTTGTCTCAGAAAGTGCTTGCATGTATAGAATAGGTCCCAAATATTTTGTTTTTAAAAGGATTTTCGCCACTGCTTTTTATCCACTTAAAGTTTCTTGCCAAGTGAGGTATGATTTGTGAGAGAGGAAAGGTTAATTAGAGATTTCAGGGCACATTCATAATGAATTCTCACACTTAATTACTATCGGGAAAAAAAGGATGGATTACAGGAAAAAGGCTTTCTCTAGCCCAGATTTTTAGTTACTGAAGTTCAAAATAGTACAAACTAGGAATTTCCCAAAGCCCGAGAAAAATGTTTGACTCTTATTCACTCATCTTGGGTGATGATATTGTTCTATAAGGACCCCAAATTGATGACTAATAACATTTACCAAAGACTAGGTTTCTTCCTAGCAAAAATTTGAAAATCTAAAGCCCGTGTAATTCAGCTATCTGTCATTAACAAGTCACAGAAACATACAAAAGCAGTTGTGATTATTTTGCATGCTCCAAGCATTGTCTCATAACAGTTAAAAGTAATTAAAGGCAACCTAAAGTCCAATTGCTTTAGGCCTCTGAAAGGAAGGCCCTTTTCCAGGCTCTGAAAACAGTCTACAAATGCTTACGCACACTGAAAGGCAAGCAGTAGTTTGTATAGCTCCTGGTTAAAAAGTTCAAAAAATTGCTCTGTTTGACTGACAGAAGAAAAAAAAAAATGACTGAACAAAATAGTGGTGTTTACCGAGCAACCACAGGCTTCTTTCAAGGGATCCACAGATGAAAACTAAGAAAATTAAATTAATTTTCAGTAAGCTGAATTTATTCTACCAAGTCTATAGCTACACAGAAAGAAAGATAGAAAGAAAGAAAAAGAAAGAAGGGAAGAAAAGCACTATAAACTAGAGGAAATGGAAGACCAAGAGAAACCCAGTAGCCTCAACTCCTACTTATTTTAAGGGAAAAGGAAGAGAATTTCTACACTAGGGTTAATTGACAGCAAGCTGCCAAACACTTTGACCTTCATCAGGAGACAGAGGTGAAGGCTAAGAGCAAACAGATGTGTGTAGCCTGGTGTCATGCAAACGTCTATCTGAAAGGATCTCTGAGGGTCAGTGGGACAGGAGGGCTCTACTCCTCAGTAATCATGGGCAGGTAGTGGCACTATTGGGCTGGGTAGCAAGTGCAGGATACGTTTTCCCATGTGTGGTTCCCAAAGCCCAGAGGCATGAAAGAGGGCAGATTCAGATCAGATATTAGGAAGAAATTTTTTCCTCTGAGGGTGGTGGGTCACTGGAACAGGTTGCCCAGAGAAGCTGTGGATGCCTCATCGCTGGAGGTGTTCAAGGCCAGGCTGGATGAGGCTTTGAGCAACCTGGTCTAGTGGAGGGTGTCCCTGCCCGTGGCAGGGGGGTTGGAACTTGGTGATCTTTAAGGTCCCTTCCAACCCAAACCATTCTGTGATTCTATGATTCTATATTCTGTAGGTAACCTTTTGAAGAAAACAAGGCTGTTGGAGTCAGGCCCACTCAATGGTAGGGATTTTCTGCTCTAGAAGCATAATTTAACCAGACCTGATTATATTGGAATTATACTAGTAAACGAATGATCACCACCAGAAGTGAATGATTGCCACTAGAAGGTGAAGGAGCAAAACTGTGGCGCATGTTGGCATAGGCACTTGGGAAAAAAGGAGAAACACTATTCAAGCTCATCTGACTGAGAGATGTACTAGCACATTTTATTTGAACTCTCATATTAAAGGTATACTATATGAGCAAAAGTAATGCAAATAAGATCAGTACCAGTGGAACTGGTTTTTTGTTTTGTTTTGTTTTTTTTAAAAAATTGTAACCAAGTAAATCCTTTGTTAGCAGCGGAATAGCTCCTTATGACTGAATTGTTAGTAGTGCAGGACAGGAAGTTGTACACAGGGAAGTTTTTGCTGTGGTATCGCTGCAAACTGGTAGCTTGAACTGCTTATACCTTTCACCTACAGAGCAAGGGCTGCACAAAAACTACTCTAGAAGTATATCCAGACCTCAGTAAAGTTTCTGCTCAGGAAATTTCTATATTCTCACTCAGGATGTGGCTGGAGGGCAATTCAAAACTTTCAATGTGCCCAGTATCACCCCTGTTCCCGCTCTCTGGGAGGTTCTGCTGCTGAGTGTTACTCTAGGTTACACTGACTAGTGCAGGAAAATAATTTCTTTAGAGCAATATGTAACATTGATAAGACATTTTCCTTTCCAACTACCTACACAACTAATGTTCATCTGAATTTGTGAGGATTAGTAACCCTGTCCCAAGTGAATGCTGTTGGATGTACAAAATTTCCTCAGTGCTCATCAGGTGATTCTTCCAAAAGCGACAGTGGGCAGTGATGTATACTTTGTGGTAAAAGCACAAGACGATTCAAAATCAAGGAAAACATGTCACTCCTGCACTGGGAAAAGATAAGAATGAAAGAGGTACAACAATTTCTGCCCCTCTCCCTAGTTAATATTGATGCTGAATGAGAGAGTGTCACTGAAATCTGTTTTAAAACCTAGGGAGAAATTGGACTTTTTTTGACCTTCTAGAAAAATTTTGTGGTTTGTTTTGTTGTTGTTGGAATTATTATTTTTTTTTTTGCAAAAAGAAAATGTTGAAAATAAATAATAAACAAATAAATAAATTGATAAAATAATAAGATGAAGGACCTGTTCTGCAGAGACCTGCACATCCTTCTGGAAACACCTGTTACATAGGATTATATCAGATAGAAGGCTGCTATCAGGGCACAACACGAGCTTTACAGATGCTTCCTGAAACATTATCTCCCATGGCAATCGTTGCTCAAACAATTGAAACCTCTGCTTTCTAATTTGAGCTTTTCATTTCCATTTTCAGACTATTGATAACCATGTGCTGCTACGGCTGTATGACCAAAGTAGATATGACCTACTTGTCTGAAACCAAATCATGCTTCACTTTTAATCTAAGTGAAAGATAAGTGATCCTCCTTCATAACTAAAATAGGTCTTTCAGAATGATCCTATTCAGGGGAGCAGAAAAGGGACTAGATGACTGGACAGGGCATGCTGTCCTAACATCTAAATGCTGCCTTGTGAACATGGACAGTTTCTACATGTTAGAGCTATTGCTCTTGCAATGTATTTGACCCATCATATACATTGCAATAAAAAAAATACAGATTATGTATATTTAATATACATTGCTCTTATTTAACTGAAACAACCCCAAGATTTTAAAGATTTCCTTTATGGCCTTTTTATTATGTTCATGGTATTTCCTGGCTTCTTTCCAACTTGGAGAGACTCCAGGCATTACCCCACTTCTTTCTTGAAGAGCAGTGCAAAAGACTGGGCAAGACCTAGGTAAACTTACCAGTCCTTAGCAGAAGAAAAAGGTTATCACACGTACCCTGTATATCTTCTTGATCAGAGCCTGCCTTTATACAAAAATTTCTCTAATTTATCTGGGAAATCTAATTTACTGCTGGTAATCTATTGATAGCTTTCTCTCTACACTAACTAGTGAACTAATATTTTCTTAGGTTTACAATCAATATACTTGCACTTGATGCATTTTCCTAAGTGCATCTCATTCTCTGCCATGACTTTTCCAATGTTAGTCCTTTTATGCCCCTACTTAAAAACCTGACCTTCTTTATGCTTCTGGAGGCTTCCTTCTTGTCTCAGTGAAAAACTTGCTTGTGATTTAGCCAAAACAGTCTTTTACCACGCAGCTGTAGTGTAGATGCTTAGTACTTGTACTGTCATCATTTGTTGCATGGACCAGAAGATCTGTTTATGTTCTTTTCCTTTGTATTTACATCTGATGAGCTCTTGTCTCATCTCCCAGGTCTCTAAACATACTAAAGCTTTCTTTGCCAAATCCAACCGCTTTTATTCTGCTTCTCTCCTTCCTTCTCTTCTTAGGGATACTGAATGAATTAAGGCTACTAGTTCCCCTTGCTTTTTATCCAGACTTTTTTCATTAGTAAAAAGACATTGTTTGTACCCAGAGCTATTGTCCTCCTTGTTAATTTTCTCATCTCTATCCAAATTATCTGAATTTTGCCCACTTACCCCTTTCCTCAAGGACCAATTTTAAAGTCCTTGTCCCAGTTGCTTACCTTTGTCCTTTTGCCACTCTGCTCACCCCACTTCAGCCCTCATTTAAAGCCATCCTGACCCAAGGAAAGTTGGTATACAAGGATGATTTCAGATCTGGACCCCTCAAAGCAGAAAATTCCCAGGATGTCAAGCTCTGTGAGCAGATGAGTTTCTCTGTTGTACATGGCAGAGATATAACAGACACCACAATTTTTTGCAGTGGCTGCAAATAACAGCCTCATAGTGAATAGCCTCTTCCTCATTATCAAGCAAGATCAGGCACACTTGATAGGGCAAAATGAGAACAATGTTAAAGATTTAGGTTTAGAGGCAGATGAGTGCCACCTCATTGTTACACACATGTTCCCAAAGTCACCTTAAAGAGAGTAACTGAAAAATCAACAGCAGTAAAGTGCTACTAGCTCTGCTATAATGAAAGCTATGACCACACTCACGCTCGAAACTCAGTATTACCGAGTGCTTTGCAATTTATTTAAGGTGTGGAGTAGTCTGAGATTTGTAGAGAACAGTCTTGCAAACGAGAGGCCATAAATGAAAACTTGTTAATCTGACCATCCCAAGCTCTTGAATAGACTCTCCAGGTATTAACAAGGATTGCTATATCATATGCATAGGAAATCCTGGATAACGGTGGAGGTGAGGTGTTCGGTGTCACAGTTAATGCACACTGACTGCCTGGGGGGCCAGAGGCTCCATCCCTTGAAACAGCACTGGCTTCTGACAGACAGACCCCTCTGCTCCCCCCACCGCTCTTTCCTCCCCTACACATTTCTCCTCCCTACAAAACTTGCCTTCAACATAATTTGCCATTTTTTTCTACTCCCCTCTATCAACCAGAAGATACAAGTATATTTAAGATTTATTTCTCTGGACTTGCGACTAATCACTCTCTTCAGTGCACAAGCACTGTACTGTAAGACAGGGTAGGGAAATAGGGAGCAGATGGGTATCACATAGCTTTTGTTACTTTGACTTAGCCAGACAAATAAAGCACCACAATAAACATGAATCTCTAATAAAAGGTCAGGACATTCAATACCAAGACCCAGAGTTAAGATGACATACTGTAGCGTGAACACCAAGTTTAACAAAACATAACAAAAATTTAAAAATAGAGATAAGGTATATTTGCATTAAATATAATTATTTTCAATGTTACAGTTATAAAAAATCTACCAGAAGAAAAGCCTTTACTTCTGCAAGTTAACAAGAACTGTGAAGTAAATAATAATCTGAAGTAAATTTAAGAGTAACAGAAAAGGTCTGTGAGAAGGACAACACAGGAAAACTTGCTATGTATACTTTTTGTATTTTCTTTCTAAACTATTGAATTTCTAACTTGACTGAGATGTAGAAAAAAGGGGAAAAATTCATATTAGAGGGAGAAAGTGCATTTTAACAATCCTCCTGAAGCTATCACTGTCCCATGTAAAGATCGGCTCTTCTGCAAGAACACAAGGGAAGTCTTGAATAATGAGAGAGAAAAGAAACTGTGATTAGTGTTACGGGGAGTGTACAGCAGGCCTGCACAACCACGATTTTTTAAATGTTCTTCTTGTCTTCCAGGATTTGATGACACCGATTGTCCAGTGGAAATTCAAGTTGAAAGACACTCCCAGTACAAAATTAATGTTGGCAAGTCTTTGGTTATAGTCTGTCCAGTTCGTTACTGCAAGAAAAAGCCAGTCATGCAGTGGTGCAAGATAGAGGTTGATACCTGTGTGTTGCTGAAGGAGGGCAAAGCAGAATGGAAGTCCAATGTGTTTACTCTGGAGATTTTCTCAGTTCATCAGAATGATAGTGGATTTTATCGCTGTCGAGCAATAGCAGGCAACCTGTCCAGTGAGAGCCATGGAATAAAGGTTATTGTTGAAGGTGAGGCCCCTATATTATGAAAGAGCCCTTTTACACAAAAGGGTGCTACATTCAGAAAAGCTAATGAATGCTGAACAATGGCTTCTCCCAACATGTTTGACTGGTAGCACAGTTGTGCTGGTACTTACCACCTTCTTCATGCTTCTATCCTGCCTCTTGGTAGGATAGAAACAAAAGGAAAGAACAAAATACAGAAATAACAGGAGGATCTGGAAGAGAAAAGCAAAGCTATCAACATCAAACAACCACTAGTGGACTATTTGATAATAAAAAAATGCCAACTGGAAGAAAAAAAGATTGTGGGATGACAGCCTGGTTACACATCGCCTGGACTAGACAGGATGCAAATGGTTGTGTAGTAGCCAATGAGGCCACACAACATTAAAGAGGACAAAGCAATTCAAGTGTCTTGTTGTGAATGATCTCTCTTGCAACAAATAGAGGGAAAGTATAATTTTGTACTCCAAGAATTTCAAGAGCAGCAAAGATTTCAACAGCTTTAAATGATCTCAAGGGCAATTGAGGCCTTCACATTAACTTGGGCAGCTGGGATGCCAAGTCTAGGTTATGACGAACCATGTCTGCCCTCCTCAACATTGCTCTGCAGCTAGAAAGGGATCCATGTGGCCGTAGTGTCCTACTGACCCCAGGCACCTGGGTTGTAAGGGTGGTCTGTTGCCAGTTACTCTCCTGTTAAGTTAAGGAACTTTGTAAACTTGTTTATTGCCACATGAAATGCTGCAACAGATGCAGCAATGTCAAAATTTATGGCTGTAATGTGCTAGCAGGCACAGTACATGCCCAGATCATGATGCAATTTTCCTTTGAAATACGTTCTGCCGATCTATTTGTCTGAATGCCCAAGAGGTCTGAAAGATAGAATTACTCTGTTGGCAATGAGACACCAACACGTCATTCCTCCTCCCCCAAAACATCCTGCCCTTTGCTTGTTGCATTTTGTTCGTTCTTCCATCAGCAGACTGAAGGGGAGCCTTGTGAAGGCTTCAGTATGCATGTGGTGCAGAGAAAACAACTGCAGTGCAAAATGTCAGGTTGCTGTTTCAGTTCTCTGTCTTTTCTTTCTCTTTCAGAAAGATCTGCAAACATTATCACAATTTCACCAGAAAGTAAGTTCTGATTCTTATTTCCTCTTTAAGAGAAAGGAACTAATCTGTATTTCTGTGAATTTGTTTAGAGTGTTCTGTGCAGTCAAGACAAATTTAAACTCATCGCTAAACGACAGTTGCCTTCTTCCCACTTGAACAAAATACAGGGTCACAGTTTTCAAGGCTAGGACTGTCTAGCATTCAGCATAAAAAGGACAAAACTAGTCAAATTACCTCCTGGTGGTATCCTCTGCATTTCTGACATGCTCTAATATCCCAGTGATATATGGCTTATACTTACAAAGTGTTGGGAATTGTGTTACAGCATTACTTTAACGTAGCTTGAAGTATGGCTTTTACTCACAGTTATCATTCACAATTACAATTAAAAAATATGTTCAATGTTCAGACCAGTGCTCTAATACTGACCCTTTCTTTGCCTCTGCCAGCCTTCTGCTATGCATAATTCGTAAATTACACTTTCCTGTGCACTTTTCCTTCTAGTAACTTCATACTTTGTAGGATGCCCATGGATATAAGATTATCTCGTGACATGCTCTATCAAGTTACAGAATGTTTAAGTACATCAAGAAGCCAGTTAGATCAGAAAGACCTCATACTAAAAAAAAGGAAAAAACCCCTGCCAGTCAAGTATTTTTCTATGCTAATACATCCTAATGCATTTTTAGATACCACTAGCATCTCAGAAGAGTCCCAAGAATCTGGAACCTACAAGATATTACACATTATTTATGCTTCAGCTGCTGTGGGTGTATGTTGTCCCTTCATTGTTGCATGCATGTTTTGGTGTCTAAGGAGGTACCATGGTAAGTAGTTTTACCATCCAACCTTTGCCTAGTATGCATTTGGTTCCACCCCTTTTCATAGCTTCGCAGAAGTTGCATTCAAAGCTCTATGAAAATCCCCTAATAATTACCCCAGTAGGTTGCTGAGATGTCTTTATTGAGTGTACCAGTTAAGTTACTGGATCTCTAAGAATTTAATTTGCTCCATGTATTGTTACCTTCCAGAGACAGAGGGTTGGAAGTAAAAGAAGAACAAATAAAAATCTCAGACTTCATAATAGTTGGAAATTTCTCTCCTGTTTCGAAAATAATCAAGTTAGGAGCTCTAGTCATACAAATACAGTCGAGCTCTATCCAGATACATTTTGTATTCCTAGTTTTCCCTCTAAATTATCAAATAATTACAGTATTAATCTCCTCTGCTTTACAGGAACTTTTACACAGCTGCCATGTCCTAAATCAGGAATGGAGCTTGGAGTCCACCATATCCTGATTTAAGTGATCTCTCATTTACCTATTATAATCCCATGGATTTTTTTTGTTATTTTAGGAAAATGAAATTATTTCATCTTCCAATAAAATTTAACATGTTTGCTCATAGGATGGTTGTAGAAAGTTCCATGCATTTTTCTTTCTATTCAGTTCACTGAACACAGAGAAAACTGGCCACAAGTACACAAGGAATTTTTCTGCCCCTATTCAGAGGAGCTCTGTGGAATGCAGAAACTCATTCTAAAAATATATAATTTTGTGTTGATTAGCTTTTGTCAGAATAGCTATTCCCAAATCCAGTTTGGAAACAGATTTTTATTCTTTGTGGTTCACTCAAAAAGGCAAGGACTCCCATAGTAATTAATACTCTCTCCATAAGCAGAAAGGCACCTTCTCAATGCTGATTTATTGAAACATGGTTTTGTTTGTTTGTTTTCCAGAAAAGCAAAAGAGAACTCCGTTAACTCAACAGAGACAAGAGATACTGGTATGCTTAAATTTTTCCATCATCAAAACCTGTCCACGTACTGCATAACCGTGTACCGAGAACAAATCTTTGTGTAGTACAAAACGTGGCATAGGATCAGAGATAGATTTAGTGACCCTCTTGGTGCCTGGACAGCATGGCTTGCCTGGTGTGAGATATCACCAAGGCTGAGCTGAGGGAAGGAACTAAGAGTCTTATCCACAAAGATACTTTAGGCATCTAAATTCATGTTAAAATATTATTTTGTAATCACAGAATCAGAATCACAGAATGTTA